CGACCACCACGTCCGCCAGCACCACCGCGGCCACCGCGACCGCCACCGCGGCCACCGCCTCTGCCACCGCGCATTCTCAGTCGGATAAAATTAATCCTAGGGGGACAATAATAACAATAATACGACACAAAAAAGAATAAAGAAGAGATAGAAGCACAGAGGAAATAAGAAAGAACACTGAACCAGAAGCGGTAACAACAGAAACAGAAACAGCAGCAGTAGCAGTAGCAACAGCGACTCAAGCTGACAACGGAAAGACAAGGAGAACAACGCATAGCAAACCATCGTTGTTTTCCTCGGCTTGTTTCATCTCTTCCATGTTCTTCTCTCTCCTACAAACTTGGGAATCACGCCACTTTTCTAGGCGTTCTTTGTTTCACTCAGCTTGATAAGAATGTTCCTCATTCGCTCCGTATTTTTGGAGTAACGATTCGTCTTGTTGAGATCTGTCACCAAGCTGACCCCAGTCCACACAGCACCACTCTTTTTGCTCTCATTCCGTTTTGCCTCATCCGCCTTCTGCTGCCGAACGTGCTCTACCTTCAGCTCCTTAAGCCTCTGATCACGCTTGAAATTTTCCTCCTTCATGTAGGCCTCTGCCACAGCTGTCTGTTTTTGCTCCTTTTCCCTTGTTTTAGCGTCTATATTTGCTGTCCTCGCCTCGATCTGCTTCCGCACAGCTTCCATCGCAGCGCCACCGTTCTTTCCTGTCGCTGCTGCCTGCTTCGGTGGTGCTGCCGCTGCTGCTGTCTTGGGACCGCCGAGCACACCGCCACCGGCGCTATCACCCCACGGAGCCGCATGTGGGGCGGGGGGAAGCTGCATCTTCAGCCCCTCGGCAGGGGAAGCAGCAGCAGCAGGAGGAGGAGCAGGAGCTTCTGGCATCGTTGTTGTTGTTTCTGTTGGTGGCACTGTTGAAGAATTGTAGTGCTGAAAGAAGGCATCGTCATCTGCTCCACCATGTTGTAGCTGCTGCTGCTGCTGCTGGTCAAGGGGGGATTTGACATCGCTGTGTCGCGTCATGCTGCCTTCATCAGGCTGCTGCTGTGGGTGGAAATCGCTCATGGGGTCCATTTGTGCAGGATCAGGTGTAGAAAACAAGATTATACAAAACTAGCACGCCAAACAAGAAAACAGAGAAAAGGAACAAAGAAAGGGACGCGAGAACCCGCAGAATTCACAACTCTCTGGGCGCAAGAACATCACCGCACACACAGACTTGCATTTTTCTCCCCCTCTACGAGGTAGGGAGGGAGAGAGTGGGTGAGTGAGAGAGGAGGGGGAGGACATCGAAGCAAGTGGGCAAGGCGGACCCCCAAGCACTGCACTGGTGCCACCCGACGATATGCGGAGATTCGAAACAAAAAAAAAAAACCAGACGTGTCGTCACATTATCCAAAGCACGGCATTCGGTAGTTTGCTCCCCACTCACACTTTACGAAATTCAACGCTTGAGAACAACGACAACAACCACAACAATGATAATAATGACAAGAAGAATGATGGCGATAGCACACAACATTTTACGACCACATCTCTGGCGCCTCGAGGCCTGCTGGAGCTCAGTCGTTCCATTCTCCACGTGCACCTTTGACTCGGACACATTCCCAGTTATCTGGTCAAGACCAGCCTGCTGATGATGCACAAGGTCATGGAACTCCTGGTAAGAGGTCTTCAAGTCCATCATATTGCTTTCAATCTCCCGCACACCGAGTAGTTTTTCTCGCTGAAGAGCCTCCTCCGTGTGAAACTCTGACATATCAATTTTTTTAATTTCATGCAACCGCACCTCGTCATATCCTGCGAGCGGCTCACCAACTACCACGGCTCCATTACTCCCCATTGCATCGGCGTGGGTGCTGGAGCGCCACGTCTGCTTTTCTTTCCTCACGGCCTCCTTGTTAGCCGCGTCGAAGTCTGCCTTGACTGCGTGGTATTGTCCCCGAAGCACCATCAGCTCCGCGCCCATGTCTAAAGAAAGAATGTCTCTGGTCTTTTCTTCACATTGTGTCGCTAACAGACGGGCCTTGCGCAACTTCTCACGTGCCATAGCATCACGTGTAGTGCCTAGTTCTGCAGTAGCGGTAGAAACAGCTTCACATGCTCTGCGCAGCTGCTGAACTGCCCGAGCGAGAGTCTCCCCCTCATCCAGCGGCATGCCGTCTGCACGGGGTGGAGGAAGTATACGTAATGACGCGCGCTGCACACCACTCACCCAACAACAGAAAACAAAAAGATAAGAAAAAGGAAAAAAA